GAGAAGAATGTGGTTTGCGAGATGACGTTGTGACCAAGATTAAGAAAGGAATGCTTTAGTAGTTTGTTCGTGTAGAAAGAATGAATGAGGAAAGAGTGACAAAGCAAATTTATATTGCAGAAGTGAACGAAAGAGTCGGAAAGGGACGTCCTAGGTAAAAGTTAAGGGATATACGTCGTTTGGTTAATCTATCTATCTATATCTCTAATAAACTAACATTTCAGAAAGAAACATTAATCTCCATATTTTTCTTACAAATTAACTTTCCGCTATATGAAATCTGTCAAATATTTAACCTCACTAACTAATAACGGAACTTCATTTTTATGTGGTATAGCTACGCTGCAGCTATACTATGGTTGGAGTACGGATGGTTAGGCTCGACCGGGGTAGGACCACGCTCTCAAGGAATACCAGCGTAAAATAGTATTATATTTTAATTAAAAATAATGAAGAGGAAATAGATATTTGTTTACAAGAGAACTGCGCTCAATATCAAGCAATGACTTACGATTAGGTTATTACAGCTATTAGTAGTAAGAGAAGCAGAGAAAAGGATTAGGAAAAAAGGTGGATTACGGTTTCAAGAAATGGGAAGATAGGGGGACTGAAAATTTATTTATATATTAAATGCTTCGAAAAATTACCTAAACAGTTTGCGCTTGTAAAACTTTTAAAACCATATGCCATATGCTCAGTATTATACTGAGCACATCAGCCGTGTGGAATATGTGAACGCGTACAAAGTATTTGTTCAGTTTGAATGTGCAGAAAGTGCTGATGATCTGATGAACTCTACACCTTTGATGGAGTTAGGATGGAGTTGTCGAAAGCCATTAAAGGTTGCTTTTTCATTCGGTATCATTAAGAATTTTGAGCTGGAGATGACCGAAACAGAAATACTGGAGGTAATTTAAAGTGATTGCGAGCTGTTAGGTTTAAAACGCTTAAAGCGCAGAAAAATGGATAGAAAGGGCGGCAAGATAGTGAATTAATGCGGCTGAGATTTAAGAGCTCACCGTTGGCAGCATCAGTATACATTTGTGGCATGAAGATTAACATTGAGTCCTGTATCTTCCCAGTCACTCAGTGTTCGAGGTGTTGGATGTTCAACAAAGGGATGCAACATATCTTCGCAGTGCTAGTGAGTCAAGAGGTCAAGCCGATCGGAAAGAGCTCGGTCGCCGACGATTCGAACGTCTCTTCGCTGGATGCGATTAAATGGAAGGAGCTGGCACTAGGGATCCCCAGGCCTGAGACAGGCTGCTGGAACAATATTCCTTATGCGGCAAAAGTACTGTTCAGCTCTGCTGAACACGCCAAGCTTTTTAGAGGCCAATTTGTCCTTCTCTTCCAAGTAATCACGAAACTGCACGTCACTCGATATATCGCCGCCAAGGATTCCGATACTGGCTGAGACTTGTAATCAGAGCATGCACCGTTTACTACGTCCTTGAAATCCGATCTACACGAAAATTGGTGATCCAGTTGCACAATTTCTCGAGAAGCCCATGAGAAGGCAGCTTCATAGGAAGCGCTTTGTGCCAAACTCGATCGAAGGCCTTCGCTATGTCAAAACTTACGCCCAACGCCTTCCCCTTGGACTCGACTGCCTACGCCCATTTATTAGTTAGGTAATCCAGAAAATCACCGGCTGCGAGCCTGACGAAAACCGTACTGGCGATCATTAATCAGCTGGTGATCATCAAGGTACCGCATGAGCTGGCTGTTAATAATGGACTCCTCCTTTATTTTAGACAACAAGGAGGTAACGGCGAGGAATGAAAGCTGTCTTCCATGATTTCGGGACTACGCCTAGGGAATAAGAGTACTAGAAAAGACGCTTTACCAACCAACGACTGCACAGCAGGAAGATCCGGACATCAAGCCGATTCTGGGATGGATGAAGGCCCGTGCTACCAAGCCTAAGTGGAGGGACGTCTCAGCGATGAGTTCAACCACGAAAAGCTATTGGGCCCAATGGGACAGCTTGCTGCTTCAGGATGGAGTTCTGTGCCGTAAATGGGAAAATGTTCGGGGAGACAGCTGTCATTTACAAATGGTTGTCCCTAAAGCTAAAGTACCGGATGTTCTACAGCTGTACCATAATGATTATTCAGGAGGCCATCTGGGAGTTAAGCGAACTCTACTGAAGATCCGAGAACGGTTTTACTGGGTCCACTGTCGAAACGATGTCGAGGACTGGTGTCGCAAATGTACAAATTGTGCGGCTGTAAAGGGACCTCAGACTCGTAGTAGAGGTGCATTGAAGTTGTACAATGTGGGCGCACCATGGGAGAGAATAGCCATTGACGTGGCGGGGCCGTTTCCGGAGAGTGAAAGCGGTAACAAGTATTTCATGGTTGTGATGGATTACTTCACTAAGTGGCCAGAAGTCTTCGCCATTCCAAATCAAGAAGCTTCAACAGTTGCAGATAAACTAGTTCATGAAGTCTTCTGTCGTTTTGGAGTACCTTTAGAGATTCACAGCGATCAAGGAAGGAATTTTGAGTCTCAAATATTCCAGGAAACTTGCCGAGTTATGGGTACTCATAAAACAAGAACGACTTCTTATCACCCGCAATCTGATGGAATGGTGGAACGATTTAATCAGACATTGGAGAGGTACCTAGCAAAAGTTGTAGACAATCGGCAACGAGATTGGGACAAGCACATACAACCGTTTTTGTTGTCATATCGAAGTTCTGTTCACGAAAGTACAGCAGTGACACCAGCTTTCGCAAACTTTGGAAGAGAATTACGGCTGCCTGCGGACCTGATCACCGGGATACCACCTGATGCCCCACGCAGTATAACCGATTATGCAAATGACTTGCGGAACAAAATGAATGACATTTATGAGCACGTCAGACAATCGGGCCAGCAAATGTCTGAGAAAATGAAAACCCGGTACGACCGCAAAATGAACAATAAAGGGTTCAACGAAGGTTCATTAGTGTGGTTGCACAATCCAGTCCGCAGCAAAGGGAAATCTCCTAAGCTTCAAGCTAAATGGGACGGCCCGTACCGGATTGTAACCAGGATCAACGATGTGACCTACCGGATACAGAAAGGCGCAAGAGGGACTCCTAAGATCGTCCATGTGGATCGCTTGGCGCGTTATTATGGGACCGATAATGCTCGGGACGAGCATGTCTTAGGAGGGGGCAGTGTTGCATGAATAAGTCAACTAGCGCCATCTAGTGTCGGGAACGGGAGCGAGGGGAGCTTGGCAGTAAATGACATCACAAACCTTTCGACCGACAGCGCCACCCGACGAACTAAGTTTCTAGAAAATCTATACTCGAATTCTCGGTGCCTTACGCGTGTTTGCTTGAACATTCTGGATATTTGCTAATTTAAATAAGTAGGCGCTGCAAGGTGCGATCGAGGTAGTGTTGATTTGGGCGAAACAAGCGAAGCTTCGGAGTGGAATTAAGTGAATTAGTGTGTTTAAATTATTAGTGTTTTAACTTTAATTGTGTAAAGTAAATTAAAGTGTTAATTTAGGTAATTTTATCGGCAATTTTTATTGTCACGAACCTCAAGCTCGTAACAATTCCAACTCCAGAGCATACGTCTTCAGCACAATAGGTGGGATGCCATCAGGCCCACTCGACTTATTGACGTCCAAGAAGAAATTCATTTTTAATACTTCTGTTCTGTTAAGAAATAGCAAGAAAACCAGCGGGACTCTTTTTTTTTTTTTTTTTTTGAAAGCATAAGTTAGACATTAAAAACAGCATGGAGCGATCACTTCAAAGGAAGTAATATATTTGATTTAAATATTTCGTATATTTTAATAGCTAAACAAAATTACAACAATTTACGCCTAAAATCATTAGTTAAAATATAATATATAATAAAATATTAAAAAATTATGAGTAAAATTATTAGTTTGGATTACGTTAATAGACAGTATGAAACATATTATAAAACATATTTATAGACGGTGCTAAAGATGCTGATGATATTGATGCAGCTGTTTTGACCCACAATGCTAACTTAGTTTACAATTTAAGATTAGGCTGAGCTGAGCAATATGTGAAGCATTGTCAGACGCTGCATCACTACCACAAGATAATGTGATAATGTGAGTGATATTGACAGACTCAAGAAAGGCACTCCAACACCTGGCTCGTTGCACTTCAGTCACACGAAGCACAACGGTAGCCTACTCCGTTCTGGATACTATTTATGGATGTGGAAAATCGAAACCTATATAGTTGCAGTGGATTTCGTTTCATTGTGCCGTGGAATATAATGAGCGATTAGATATCTTATATACTATCTTATAGGCTAGACGGATGGCGTCGACTACACAGTGTTACCCCATTACACTGATTTTATTTGTATTATAAAAAGGCAATATTACATACTATGGAAGGAGTATTTCAATTTACGCTCAAAAGAATAGTGTATTTGGTACAAGACGGTACAGCCACAACCATCTAAAATACCATGGATTGATAACAAACTCCATCTTGGAAGTTTGCATTTCTTATAAAAAAGGTAGTCACCGAATCGTAACCAATTCGGTGTTCGCTTGGACTAATGTCTTGATAGATTGTGCCCACAGCGCTGCATTTTGTATTGATAAGTGATACCACATTTTAAAAGACTTCGCTGATTTTTGAATAACTTAGCTAAGTCACATTCTGACGATATATAGTTATGAATCAAACTTTACAAGGTGAAATTCTCGGATCGATAACTCTCTTCTCAGTGTCATTGAATGGGGAATTTTGATTGCATCTAAATGCATAACTTATTAAATGCGGATTTGAGAACTTTATAATATAATTAAGTTTAAGTATATCTAATGAAATTGTTTTTGGTGTTGAACTAACGAAGTGACTTATTCAAATTTTGATTAAGCTCATTAATATAGAATTAAAAAAAAATACTCCACATTAATAGAGATCCTACTCAAGAGATACCGGGGCGGTTCGCTAGTTTACCATAAAATTTCAGATACTTTCGATATAAGTCAGCAAATC